TTACATTAGACTGTCATCTCTTTGTATTCGGGATAAACAGATTTATGTTTCTTTCAGACCTTGTATTTAGTATTCCTTAGATGTTCGTGAGTATGTGACTCCAGATCCGGGGTAGAGATTATGTTGGAATTCAGTATCTTGCTTGCTATTTAAATTTAAGACTTCCGCTTATTATTGTTGATTTTCATTGTTTAAATATTATTGTCGAAGGATTGTTTATTAAAGGAAAAGAACTAAATTTGGCTTGCCTAGCTTCTACGAGTAGGCGCCATCACGACTCCCGAGGGTGGGAAATCCGGGTCGTGACACACACTTGTTCATTTTGTATTTGTGAAATATTTCTATACATCATATCTATGGATCTTCAGCTTCCTTAGTTACATCTACAACAAAAAAACAAATGTAATGTTAATTGTAAAGCACAACAAAATTTTAATAGTAAAACCGAAAAATTGGGGGAAAAAATAAGTGACGACTTTAAATTAAAAATTAATATAAGTAAAATAAGATTAAAGGAGTCCTTCTAAATTTTTATTTATTAATGTAACTTATGAGTAAATAGCATATGCTAGATTAAGAAAACATTATATATAGCTTCACGATCTCAAACCTTAGCATCGTATTCATTGGTTGGAGAACACTTTGGAAATTATACTGATCACAACTCATGAAGAAGAGGTTTTTTTCCGAAGAACTGAAAAGTGAAATTCAAAAGAATAAAGATAAAAAATTTTATTTCTTTTTGGTAGTGAAATTTGTAGGAGACCAACAACTTATTCTAATAGAGTGAACAAACGATACACCAAAACAAAATAACGGAGTTGTCCCAAACCATCCCTTCGCAGTGGCATGCCATATAAGCTCATCGCAAACTACATGGCTGGACAAACAAATACTACTTGTGCTATTTGCTAGTACAAAACTATAAAAGCATTGAATTTATTAGTCTAACCAAAAAAGCTTTTCAAATACTAAGTTAGTTTTAAGAGATCGTAATTTTATTAACATAAATTATTCAGAGTAGAAAAAAAAATTGAGAGACTAACCTGAAGGTTCGTATAGTATTGCAGGGTTAAAATCTGAATATATAGTATTCTACGTAGGCTTATGTTGAGTGAATTTTAATCACAATATTATTCTACCATCTATGTCGTTTGATTGTCAATCAACTATTCACTTCCATGTATTAAACGTGAAACTTAATTACCTAGATCTAAGGCAAACATAATCTTAAATTTTTACGTAGCAATACTTATTATACTTTTCAAATTTCAATACGAATATAAATGTTACCTTTGAATTCAAATAATTTACTAAAGTATTATACATGTATCACCAACTTATCTCAAATCAAAATTTAGACTCATATATCTATATATTTTCACATAATAACTTTTGAATGAAATTTACCTTCCCAATCGAATTTAACTTTTCTTTCTTTCAATTTTAATTTAAACAATAATAATTGGTTAAGAAATAATTAGTTTAAAAAAGATATTATTGAGTTTGAATGGCCCTTTAATTACGCTGTTGGTAAGGTTTAAAAGCATAATGAGTGCTAAATATGGATAAATATAATTAGCTTTTAAATCAAAATTTAAACTTTATTCTGCTAAGAAATGAATATATCAATTTATGAAATATGAGAACCATGAATATTGTTTGGCATAAAATATTATCTTTTATATGGTAATATATTTGAATTGCAATATTCTAATTTTCATATAAGAAATAATATTATATAAATATTCTTTGTCATACAATGTTATTTCTTTATGATAATTTTAGACCCATATATCCATATATAGTTATGTATAAATTTTAAATGATATTTATCTTTCCATTCTAATTTAAACAAACAGTTAAGAAATAATTCCTTTAAAAAATTATATCATTGTGTTTGAATTACCCTATAATTAAGGTATTGCTAATGTTTAAAGGCCTAATGAATGCTAATTACAAATAAGTATGATTAGCTTTAAATTCAAAATATAAACTTTATTTTTAGTTAATAATTTAATATATCAATATGATAAAAGTCACGAATATTGTTTGGCATATAATATTTGTCCCTTATATGGTAAAATTTAAATTGTAAATATCCTAATTTCTACATAAGGAATAATATAATATGAATATTCTTTGTCATATAATATTAGTCCTTTATGGTAACGTATTTACACACACACTTTTAGTTTATGTATAAATTTTGCATGATAATTATGTTCCCATTCGAATTCAAATTAA